AAAAGATTCAATCTCTCTCTCAGATTCAATCTGCAGAGAGCTCAAAATGCCTGTATTCGTTTCATTTATATCAAAAAACGAACACATCTCCGGTGTTTATAAAAAGCACAAAATATTAACACTGAAGGATAGGCGTTTGTATCACAGCCTTTGTATTTTATTTAAGATGCTAAAAATGGGTTTCCCGTCATATTTAACAAATTGTTTCGTACAGCTTAAATCCTCTAGATTTCAGAAATACTAGTTACTCTGTATTCCAAAGAACAAAACCAACTACTACAATAAATCGTTCGCAATTACTGTAGCCCGGGAGTGGAATAAATTGCCTTCCAATTCTATAAAAAACTGCTCCTTATTAATGTCTGTTATAAAGCACTTAAATGGTTTTCCTACAAAGTAAATACGTGATTTTACAATTTAAATCGCTGCGGCGTCGCGTGGCGTCGCGCGGCGTCGCGCGTGCGCGCCCGAGCGTCGAGGCGCTGCCCTCGTCGCCAAGGCCTCTCTCTCTCCCCGGCGGGCTGCCGAAGGCAACGCGCCTCCGCGGGCGCCGCACAGCACCGCACTCAGTTTGAATTGAATTGAATGAATTGATGCCTTATTTTACGTGGCGAGACTCAGGCCATTAGGCCCGCTCTTCCGTCTGACCACACAAATTTCGCTACGCTTCTTTCACCAAGTAGCAGAGAAAGGAGGTGTATCTTGGGCGAGAATCAGGCGATTTGAATTTAACTGAGAGGCGTCATTTAGACTTGAGGATATTTTGCATTGAAGAAAATCTACTAACATGGGACAGCCAGTTTTACTTCCCCTCCGAAGGAAGGCGTACGAAGGATTTTTTTGCCCTTAAAAATCCACGATCGGGTTTGAACCCGCCAACTTGGGTTCAACAGTCCGAAACGCTAACCGTTACACCATCGCCGCGCGCCATCGCCAGGTTCGGGAGGCCATTTCACGGAAATTATCGGGCCTTTTTCGAGGGCCATTTGAGTTCCATCGGGAAACGGGAGACCAATGAGGGCAATTGTGAACGGAGGAATTCTGCTTTTAAAGAATAATTTCGGGGAATATCTCTCTTCTCAGAAATGGATTTTTGTAGTAAGTCCAATCCACTCATCTCTCCGGGTAACGTTACACTTAATGTATGAACTCTAAAAAAAGTATTTATCAAATACTATCATAACACTAGATCACTTTGAGGTCTTAACATTTATTGCTACATTTCTAATACTAATTCACTTCGTAAATAATTTCCCCCGTAAATGTATTGCAATTTTTTCAAATATTTTTTTCGTAGTACTGTTCTGTTGCATTAACTTAATGCAACTAACGGCTGGTGTCATTTAAGGAGATTAGTCCGTTTACCGTTAGGGACAATGGAAACAATTGATTTGTAGCTAAAGATGGTGGATGAGCTCTTCTCCAAGGAAATGTACTTCTTATTGTATTATTTTTCTAATAAGCAGTACTGCGAAATGCATTATACGATACACGGCTTATATCACAAATAATTTTATTATTTGCAACACATCAAACTAATGACATTAATAACTGTAACAAATTAGTCTACTTTCAATATTTATTTTTCTTCTGAAAAATATTTCAATCATTACATTGCTGTTCGCTGTTGTAGATACTCCTTTCTCACAACCATCATCTACTAAAGGAAATATCGCTCACGTTTCGTAATGCGTTTTCGAATATCCTTAATCAAGAAGTAGACATCCCAACATGAAGAAGTCGGGGAAGCGTCATTAGAGGCGAGTCTAACGAGTTGTCCGTATGTTGGAATCTTGATTACACATAATTGAAATTCATAAACATGTGATCGGGAAGAAGAGATTGACAAACAGACACAGCCGTATCATTACAGGTTTTAAATCATTCTTTACCCAGGTAAAGACGAGTTATAAATCAACGACACAACACACGCGTTATTATAGTGTGCCGCCGGCTGGAACACGCAGGATTCAGACTGTGCTCATGCTTATGTCGGAGAATGTAAGAAAGTACACTACATTGTATTTTTGTAGTTGTAATGCTGTTGTATATTTTAGAAAACGTACAACGTATTAAGAATAAAATGCTATTCAGAGAAATTAGTCCACTGCTTTCGTGTTTTGGACTTATTTGACGGGATGGATAATGAATAGAAATGAATGTGTCATTGGTTTCACTTATTTCACGCCTGCACAAAGTTTGCTTCCGCAGGCATTCTGCACTCAAGAGCCGGACATCTGCCCGCGAAAATGGCGAAAGTGCAAGTAATGGGTAGGCGGCTTTTCCGGAGCGGGCAGCCTGACATTTCACTGTGAGGACGACGCGGCGCGAAGATTAAAAACCCTAGGCGTTCAATGTCTTCCTTTATTTTACTTTTCGAATTGCTCTAATATCCATTTCGTGACAGAAATGTACCCACATACGTAATGAGAAAAATCTATAAAAGCAAAATAGACATACAAATGAAATACGGACATTTCAAGAAGGGTAATGTTTGAGAATACGTGTATTTGTGATCTTTCCCCTCCCCCGTTATGAAGCTGAATATGAGGTACAAACGAGCAAACCTCTCTGACGATATATTGCGGCCAATTATGAGATTATTATGGGTTCGGTTAAATAGAATGGAAATGGCTTAAACTTTTTCATACGATGTCTTAAACTATTATGAATGAATATGGTTCGTTGATTTGATGTTTTAAATATATGATGTACTCTTGTCAGAAATTACAAAAGAAAGTAGTAATAATTTTCGAAGAATATTTTTTAGCTTTGGTAGAACCGTCAAATTCAATTAAACATAGCTAATGAAAAAATAGTTTATTACTGCCATCATCAAACGCGAACTATTCAGTGTAACAATTTTGTGTTTAGCACTACACTGAATGTATGATAACACCGTAGCAAAGTGAATGACAATGTCAGCCTTATAAGCAATATTATAATACTTGGAGTCCGAAACAAATATGTATGTCTAATTTGTTTTAGGCTCATATTTCACAGTGCCATCTACCGACAACAAACATTTCCAATGTAATACAAAAGGCTATATTAGTTGAACTGTTTATAACAGTGCGTCATATTTTTGCTACGGTTCGAATTGAACATTCCCCGTAATGGTGTCCCTTGTTTATGACCTTATTTCAAAATTTATCTTAAAAGAATAGATTTCATTTAGAGAAAAAACCCTGTACTCGTAATTATAGGACGACGCCAAAACAATTTTGAACATCTGCAGTTTTCGAAAAATTAGAGTTTTCAACGACCATGAGACCTGTACCATTCTCGTAAACATCCTTCACACTATCCAATAACAAAATTTAATCAAAAACGATGGAACCATTTTTTGAAACGGACGGATGGATGGTCATGTACACGTAGGCTTCCGCGGCTCGAGTCCATTACTTCTAGGCTGTCCGGGTGACGCCGCGTCGTTGGCAGATAGGCCGACGTTTCGCCTGTCATGTCGCAGGCTTCTTCAGGGTACTGACATAGTAAAGCTCCGCCTCCGGTGTTATATCTTATTCAGCTAGTGGTCGGGTAACGCAAGTGCGCCGTGATTGGCGGAGAGGTCCCTCTGATTGGCTCGCGGTCTGGGCCAACCCTGGCCTCGCACCCGCCGTCCTAGAGATCGGACGGAGAGGAACAGTCCCCGCGCCGTCAGGCATCGGTGGAAGAATATACTTCCAGGCGTGGCTTAGATTAAGGCCTGCATCCGCGTTGATGTTTTGCGGCCGTCTACTGATTTCTATTGCCTCTTTTACGCGTCTAGGACAGTATCGATTTTCACTGTGTAGGAGCCGGGTCTTATCGAATTCAATAGCATGTCCTGTGACCTCGGAGTGGAGTGCTATGGCCGAACGGTGGGTTTGGTTTTTGTTGTAATAACTAATGTGTTCCCTAACTCGTTCAGACACAGTGCGCCCGGTCTCACCGACATACGTTCTGCCACAGCTGCAGGGAACTTCGTAAACGCCTGCCGCCTGGAGAGGTGGTAAAGCATCTTTAATGCGTTTTCACAGTTTTCACAGCTCCCGACAAACTGCACAAGACCCTGGTACGAGATCACTTCGAATACGAGTACTGATAACACATAGTTTAGTTGACAAGGATTGAGTACAATCATTTGGTAAATGTTTGCATACACTATCAACATATAAATTACATAAAACAAATAAACTTGTACAAATATCGAAAATAATCTCATTTACCACGTATATAGAGAGACAACTAAAACTGAATGACAGTGACGTAGGGCACACTAAATGATCAACGAGGAAATCCAATGAATTTGGAATTGAAAAAGCCCCAACATTACTAATTTTTGCGTATGTTTTGGGCATAAAACGTGTAGCAGCAAACATTTATTCCAAATCTGTTGAATTTCGGCCAAACGCAGTGTTGAATTCCTTAAGAGATATTAGTTGAAGCTTACAACGTGGTCTCAAACGGGTCATAACTGGAGAAGGAACGTGCGTTCGGATTTGACATAATGTGACGTCGTGGCAGTAAGCACACCGACCATCCAAAAGTACTCGTATGTACAGTTTCATTTACAAAATGTACAAATGTGTCGAACTACCCCGTACACAATTCCTGGTATTTTCCAACCGCCAGCGGCGATCGTACCAGCCTGTGGATACACCACATGTACATGAAAGGCCCCACCTCGAGTGCATCTCCTACCGAGCCACTCATGTGACCTACGTCACCGGTCCAGTGCACGAATACGCACCAACCTGGGCGTGAGTTTTGCGCAAAGCGCGAGGTTTACAAGAACAAAAAACATCGTTTATGATTCAAGTGTCATTTCTCTGATTACTCAAAAACCAACCTGTGAACGGGTCGCCGCAATTTATACTCGCTGGCTCATCCCCACCTGATCCTGATGAGCATGTGAGGGAGGTTTACTGTTAGGTGACACTTGCTGCAGGACAAGCCGGCGTACACCTGACTCTTAAAAATATCTGCCACCCCTAACGCTGCTACGGTGCTCAGGTATGCGAGGCTTACGCGTCTTCCTCCCACGTATGGCAGCCAACGTGACGAATCGAAACTTTCTGAAGAGCGAAAACAAAAAAATGCCAATACGATCAAATTTGAAGGTTCTTTTTTATGGTTTAAGAGCATTGTCGTCAGGTCGTGGACTCAATGAGGAGTACTAATGCACGCTATTTGCATGAAGAACTTCGAAGAAAACATCCAAATATATGGCAAAACAATTCATGGCATTAGAACACGATAAAGCACCTTCTCACACTTCACTGCTTGTTCGACAAGTTTTAGCCAAAATACGCACCAAAAAATCCGGTACGACGTTTCAGTCTCTGTATTCAGCAGACTGGGTGCCGTGTGACATCTTCCTAGTCTCAAAGGTTTAGAAATCTTTGAAAGGGAGATTTTTTTTGCCAATATTGAAGAAATGAAAGCAGAATTGCGGAGCTAAGCGCTATACCGAAAACCGCATTTCAGAAGTATTTCGAGGTCTGAAAAAACGCTGGCTCAAATGTATATCTCAGGAAATTATTTTGAAAAAGACATAATCAATATGGATTATTTTTTTTGAAAAGGAGAAAAACTAAGTTTCTAATATCTTATTGACCAAATTATAAGAATTGGTACTGAAGGAGGCTTGTGATTATCCGTGTCGTGATTAACAGACACAGTTTTAAGGAAAATCAACCAAATAATCCATTGCAAAACGGTCGATTCCGTTAGCGATTTTAGGAATTTTGACGCTTTCCCCAATTCCGTAATTATTGGATCCCCTCGTCAAACACTGGATGTGTCCTTCATCATTGACATTCTCAATTTTTGTTGTTATCTTACGTTCGCGGTAAACGTGATTATTACGTTAAGTATATTTGTACTCGTATATTGTTTTATCTAATTTATATGTTGACAGTGTACCAAACTTTTACCAAATATTTTAACTTGATACTTATCAAATATAATATGTATTATTAATTTTCATACCCGAAATAATCTCGGCCCCAATGACTTCAGACCCTTACAAATAAGATTTAATAAGAGGTAACATTTTCATGTTGTTGATTTTTGCACAAAATATGCAAACTCACTCTGTTGATTAATGTTAAACAAAATTAAAATTAATTCCGGGCATGGAAGATATCATAAGCTATTTTTATAAGGGAGATATTTATGAAACAGCTTTAAAACAAGAACTTTTCGTGGCTAAAAGTTTGAAAGGGTTAATTTTACAACAAAATCTTACATAAACGTTTTTGTAGGAAATTGGGTCTACTTTAAGTTTATAGAAAACATAATTTTCGTTACGATTTATAATAATGGAGATATGTGAAAATATGTGATCGCTTTTTCTAATCGATGTTTCTTTTCTGTCCTACCAATTGGCCAATCACAAGCTCCTACTCATGTATCTTATGAGACGGTATGTATCATTCGCTGTGTGCAATAAAAAGCGTATGCATAATTATGTTCATATGTATTATGTAATATCTTTAATTTTAAAATCGCTCGCAGTACTTTTCATTAGTAATAACATGGCCAGATTCGGTGGCACGCTTGAGCACCATTCAACGAAATAATTTGTGAAGCTCCAGAACACACGGAGAAAAATTGAATGTATATTTGACATGAGTATTTAGATGGGTATTTTAAACAAGTCCTTCATACTTTTAAAATCACTCTTCGTAAAATTCTCTTTCTTTAGAGACCTCATTTACAAAGATTCGTTGCGTGTGAGAGCCGCAAAAGGCAGTGTAAGTAGGCTATACTATTGCAATGATATAGGAGACGATGCTACTATATCAACACTGAAGCTCTACTTGAAAATCAATGAGCAACATCATTTGATATTCATAAATAAATTAAGTCAGACACATTCATCATCAAATACATCTGTTTCATAACTTAACGCGATTGTGAATGAAAATAAACAAGTTTCTTTAACATTTAATTTTAAAAAGAGCGTGTTTAATAAATGTATTTTCCACTGAAAGAATATATGGTATTTTAAATGTTGATGTTTGTTACATCAAAAGTTTTTACTTTAAAGCAAAATAAACATACATTTCATGTCATCATCTGTATATTCATTTGTTTATCTCGATTTTGATTGCGTATCGACCACACGGTGTAAACTTGCCCATCTGCTGAACATCCTCTCCACTAAGGCCTCAGCGCTTGTTTGTGACGTCACATCTAGAAAGGAAGCGTCCAACTACACACAGCACTCTGGACTTGAGTAGACGCCTTTTCACACCGAACGTCACTACGATCTACTCCTAACAATTTATAAATTTGCGATTGTCAAGATTAATGATGTCGATATGTTAAGATAATAATGATTGATATTGAAATTGAAATAATACACTCAATTAGGAAGGTGAAGATGCGTCATAACTTACGTAATTGTGATTCATCTAGTGTTTTTGTAATAACCCGCACATTATTTTCTGATAAAAATATAATATACAAATAACATGTGGGGTATTTTTCTTTCAACTAAAAACTTAATCCATTGCAATGTATCTGTAAGAACATGAGGTAAATGGGAATATGAATTATCGTGAATATGAAGTAAATTCTAAATCATTTCGTTTAAAATGTTTCATACAACTGATGAAACAGGAGGTAATTTAAATATTATAAACCAATGGGAGGTTCAAAAACAGTGTCACTTTGTAACTTTTAATGATTGTATTTATTTTGTCTTTGAAAAATGGTGATATGAATTCACTCTTGGTTGATCAGGATTTTACGATGCCTGTTCAGTAAATAAGTCAATATGAAAAGAACATTGTCAATGAAAACAAATATCACACAAACAGTTTTTATCACTCACTAATAACTTCTCTTTCTAAGCATTTCACAAGATTATTTTGGGGATAAAAATTAAACCTGCAAAGAAAGTATACTAAGTATAGGATGAAATTTACATTTATCGTAAGCTATATTTGCAGTACTTTTTAAAATTAACAAGCAATGACATTCACATTTTGCAACATTAAACTAATATTACCTGTAACTAACTGTATATTAAACTTCACTTTAAGTGTGAAGAATAGTGTTTTATAAAATGGGCAACTATATCATAAATTTAAGAGTTTATGAAATATTTAAATATAAAACTGAATGATCTTACATAACTCTGTAATATAATACCTTTGTAATATATTGCAAAGGTATTTAGTTACGGAGTAAGGTCGTGCTACGCAATTTTATTCATAGTTCAGGATACTTAAATTCTATTGGTACAAAAACATTTGTACCTTCGGTCCCATTGGGTGATTTTCTATAGAGTCGAACTTACAACAGGAATTAACAATCATTGCGAAACCACATATGTTTGCGTAGTCAAGAAATGATGAAATAATACCAAGAAAGTGACAGATGTAAAAAACAAACGCCCCCTAGAAGTATGATAATTAAACTTTTCTATACCTACTAGTAGTGACGCAGTCTGTTCAGTAGTGCCGAAGCGCCAAGTCCGTTGTGGAGGTGTTGGTCTGCTTCATTAGGAGATGGCCATGGTAGAACTAGCGAAATATGTGAGGAATAAAGTACATCAATATAATAATCATATTTGGCTCATTTTAGAACTCTATTGGACGTAATTTCATTCGTGGAATATTACAATTAAATACCACTCGTGCCTTGGAAATTCTCGGATAAATTTCAAATTACTCATGGTATTACCCGTGATAAAATCCCAGTTATGGAGGAAATGAAGCGACTGTGAAAAATATTTAACAACTAACTGCGAAAAGTTGACTACACGGATATTATCTGTATCTATGACTACCTCATCAAACATTTTAAACAATCTCCTGTAATTCAGTGTTAGAGTTTTCCCTTTTAGGGTTTTAAAATGCCTAATAACTTTTTGTTTACTTTTCGATGCCTGTGTTTAAGGTGTTATTTCGGTATATTACTACTTTTTCAGATCAATGTCGTTCTTTCAGAACCCTACGAACCAACTTGGAAATCTTTAGACTCCAGACCTCTGCCGGAATGGTACGACAAAGCCAAATTCGGAATAGTTATACACTGGGGTGTGTTCTCTGTCCCAAGTTTTGAGAGTGAATGGTTCTGGGAAATGGTCAATGATGATTCTAGTGCTCCAGCTTTACTTATGAAAAATAACTATCCAAGAGGTTTCACTTATCAAGATTTTGCAAGAGACTTCACAGCAGAATTTTATGATCCGAATGACTGGGTCAAGGTTTTGAATAATTCTGGTGCAAGGTATGTTGTGCTAACAAGTAAGCACTATGAAGGTTACACTCTATGGCCTTCAAAGTATTCCTTCAGTTGGAATTCAATGGATGTTGGTCCTCACAGAGACATAGTGGGAGAACTGGCTAGATCCATTCGCTCTAGAACGAAATTAAAATTTGGTGTGTATTATTCACTGATTGAGTCGTTTAATCCTCTTTATTTGCAAGACAAGAACAATAATTTCAGTACACAGATATTTGTTACCCAACACACAACGCCTCAATTGCATGAACTAGTAGAAAAATATAAACCAGCTGTTATTTGGTCTGATGGTGAATGGGAAGCTTCAGATTCATATTGGCTTTCCAAAGAGTTTCTAGCTTGGCTGTACAATGAAAGTCCTGTTAAAGATGATGTCGTTGTAAATGATCGATGGGGAAAACATATTCCTTGCATGCATGGTGGCTTTCGTACTTGCAGGGATAATTTTACACTTGGTGTTCTGCAGCCCCACAAGTGGGAAAGTAGCACGTCAATTGACAAAGTATCACGGGGGTACAGAAGGAATGCGAAATTTTCAGATTATAAAAGTACTCATGAGTTACTGGAACATTTAGTTTCAACTGTTAGCTGTGGTGGTAATCTATTGCTTAATGTCGGTCCCACAAAATATGGTATGATACCTCTCATTATGCAAGAACGTCTTCATGATATTGGATATTGGCTTCGTATTAATGGTGAAGCGATTTATTCCACAACGCCGTGGACCACCCAGAAAGACACGTACAATACAAACGTTTGGTATACCCAAGGTAAACAATTTGTATATGCTATTGTGCTTGAATGGCCTAAAGAAGGCCTCTTGACATTAGCAGCAATTCAATTAAATAAAAATTCTAAAATAAAAATGTTGGGTACAAATTTTATACTGAAATGGCATAATACTAATTCTGGTATTGTAATAGTATTTCCTGATAGAGCCCAATCACCAGATTTTGCGTGGTGTTTAAAACTGAGCAGTGTCAAAAGGAGTCGAAAATCAAAATAATATTCAAGGAACAATGACAATTTATTTTATATATTTTTAAATGTAGTGAAAACATATATATTTGTGACATGTAATGGAAACATTTTATAAATGTGATAAACACATTTGTGATTTTTAAATTTTTTTATTTATTTTTAAATGCTTTTCTCTCTCTTAACTCTCCCTCCCTGTCTTTCTCTTTCTTTGTCTCTATCTTTCTCTCTCTCTTTCTCGCGCTCTCAGTCTGTGTTTGTAGGTGTGTGTGTGTGTGTGTGTGTGTGTGTGTATTTGAGGAGCTCGATCTTTGACATGTGACACAGAGTTTGAACTGAACTTCAGATGCTTTAGTAGCTCTCAACTCCTTTGGACTAGAAGAAATTCCTGACCAAATGAACTGTTTTGGGGTGAAAATTTTTGATGACTGTGTTAACTAAACTAGTGGTGCTTCAGAATGGCACAGACTTTCCCGATTTAGTTTTCTATTTCATTTGGACTCGGCTATTCGGACTCGCCACATATTCTTGACAGTTGCCATCTATCGCCGCCCAAAGTATTTTTTTTATTTTCTTAATATTTTGGGGGTTTGTAAGAGTAGATTGGAAATTCCATTTTAGGAATATTCAAGAACAGTAAAACCTCGTTCTAAATGGCAATTTTCTTTGAAACATTTGAATTAGCATTTATGAAAATGGGGTTTAATCGCTATTGAAGAAATTAGAAATTTGAAGCAGTTTTTGACAGAAACTTTTGGGTTTAAAAAAATCATTATTAAAAGTAATTTGAAGAACATTAACTCACAAATTCAATAGTGTTTACAAATTGCTGGAAAAATGAATATTAACAGAATGAAAAATCGTTAAAAAAATTACATTTGTGTAATTAAAAAAAAATCAACAATAAAACATACCTCAAAATGGATATAACGTCATATCAAAGAGTGCAATTAGCACAATCCATTCCGAAAGCTTGAAGTAAAAATTTGGTACCGTTTTTGAGAAAATGGCGATCGAGTGTTTCCGAAAATGCAGAATTTGGAGCTAGTTTTTACAGAAAACGGCTGAGTTTTCGAGAAACTGTATTTGACATTATCGAAAGTATATATACCCAAAAATATCATAATGTGAACAAATCGCTGCGTCGTTTGTGAAAATACTATCGACGCGAGAAATAAATCAATAAAACTACATTTTTGTAATTTTTGAAAAAAAAAAAAACACGAAAGATTACGGCACACTGATGATTATATCATCTCATAGAGTACATTTAGAGCTCTCGCTACTAGTAAACAATATAAATTTATAGCAATTTTTGAGAAAATTTTGTTTATGTATTTTCTTAAATTGTACTTATTGCACGCAATATTCTGCGAAAACAACGAAAAAATGTATGTGACGTTAATGGAAGAGCTTATCATGGAGAAAAAATTGTATTTGAAGAAAAACTATCTATCTGTAATTTTGTTGTAGAAAAACACCGAAAAAATTCATAAATTTCAAATTTTCGAAAATTTAGAATGAACCGTGTAAATCGGACCTATGCGATGTTTGTAAGTGCGTTTATTCTATTCTTAAAGTACTCATAAAATAAGTTTCAAAATCGCAAGCTGAGACTCAGGCCAAATGGACAGGAATTACTTCAATTTCAAAAAAACAAACAAAAAACCTATGCATGGTTTACGTACCAGTAGAGTCTACAGACACCGGACAGACAGACGGACGGGCAGACAGACGGATGGGCAGACAGACAGACAGACGGATGGGCAGACAGACAGACAGACAGGCAGACGGACCGAAAGTCGGGCAGATGGACAGAAAGTCGGGAAGATGGACAGACATTCTGAAAAAAAACAAACACTTTTTCGGTATCAGGGGACCCCAAAACGTGTATTTCCGTTGAAACCTGGAAATCGTATTTCTACAATATTTCATAACTTTCCCTATACTACTTATATTACTTCCTATGTATACGGGAAAGTAAACTACTGTCCGGGACTGAGTTCTCCGACCGCGGTGCGGAGGACATCTCGGCCGTCGACGTACTACCAGCCGCGCGAAAACAAAATTTATTTCACGATCGCAGGACAATTGACTGGTCGAACATTCCCTTCTTCAGCTGCATCACATCAAAACAAATAAACCGCCAACCGTAGTTAAGTTTCAAAACATACTCTCAGATGTGTACGGTTGGAGTAGAAAGGCTATCGGCAGGTCGATCGCGATCTTTGGGTAGATCTCTTCTGCGTTGCGCGCCCGGGGAGGAGAGGGCAGTTGCCCCCCCCCCCCACGACCTTGGCGGCTAAACGCCCGGGGCGGGCGTCGCGCCGCGTGCAGCGGCCGAAAGGAAACTGGGTCTCCGGATAATCGCGCCTGACGCAGTTTTCCTGGAGCGGCGTTCGTTGCGCCGTAAGGTTTGCCCGTGCGCGCCCGCCAGTGACTGGCTCTTCAGGAGGTGCTGCGCATCCACGGCGCTTCATAAACCAAGTGATTCATTTCAAAGCGACGTGTCACCATTTCAGTTTGTTTTCTTGTTTTACATGACAATGAATATTTAAGACGCTTCTTCATCAGGATGACATGTAGTGTGTTCAAAAACGAGAGGTTTTCATATTCTAAACTGTATCTGAAAACAATCAAATCATCGCCTGGAGTGCCTCAGGGCATCATGATTTTACTGCAGTGCCTCTGACCGGGGGGTTCTAAGGTTCGAGTCCCGACGGTGTCAGGATTGTTAATACCAGCTAAACAGTTATGTCGAATTTGGCTGCCTAAAGGAGAAATCTAGCGGCCAACAGCTCTGTTCGGTAATTTCGCGTGGTATTTCCGATCAACACCAGGCGAATGACGGAGCAGTACGCTTAACAAACGCGTAACGGACCGCGAGCGATTCTTTCTTCCTGTTTCTTGCTGTAAGCTTTCGCATTATTCACAAAAAGTTACACTTACGAGCTATACACCACCACACATGTCAGGGACGTCCTGTCCCGCATTCCCACTCTGTTGTGAACGCCTGAGTAGCATGTGACTCTTTTAACTTTCTTTACGTTTCCGTTGGTTCACGTTCGTGAACATGCGGCATAAGAGTATTACCCGTGCACGTTTACTTGAACCGTCATTACACTAGATTCAAGAGGAGTAAGGGGAGGATTATTTTCACGACAGAAATACTACAGAAAACCTGTAGCTCGTTCTTCCATGCAAAATAGTTTCTCTTATACGGGAGAGAACATTTCTGGTTAACAGATTTTGTCCACCCTTCGTCACTGTTATTTATTCTTAATTCAACTAAAATTGGTAAAGGAGTAGGGGCAGAAGAAAACGTGCGCGTATAATACGTTGAGATTGGATCCCTGTTTGTTTGTAGAAAACTTTGGACGCGAACGGACCGGCGTTTTTACCACACGGCAGTGTTCATACTGCATTATAATGTACCATAAATAGGGTGGACTACCCAAGTTCGCCGCTGCAAATATATTGAAAACGGTTTGAGGAATTTAGATGCGATTTGCGCCATGTTGTTGCAGATGATGGGGTAAACAACATATTTGATTTTCTGGTTAGTACCGTATGTAATTTTAGAGATATTAAAACAACTTTGTTTTTTTTAAATGAAAGTATATATTTTTTCTCTATCATTCTAAGTTCTTTAAAAACCAAATGAAATGATATAAATATTGTTAATATTCTAAAAGTGTTTTCTACAAAAAAAGTGCAATCAGAACTTGGTAAACGTCATGATGCAGCGCGCAAGGACAGCTGATCTTGCTGACATTGTTTACATGAACCGACGCACCTTGTGAGAAAGCGAGAAATTTCGCCGGTTACGGGACTTCCTAAGCTCTCACTGCTAGTGCTAATGGTTTCGGTTTTGGATTTTCACAAGTTTTACATGCCCAAGGGAGGAGGGATGCTCGAAATTATTATTATTATTATTATTATTATTATTATTATTATTTAAATTATGCGAGACATTACGAAGTTTAGTCATGTTGCAGAAGCAAGTAATTTTATGTTTGTGATTTTTGTTACTTGTTCTAGAGAATAGATTATGAGCTCCTAGATTACGTATCAACGTTGTTGGTTGCAAGCGGGTAATTGTACAATAAATGAATACCCGTTTTAATTTGCAAATTATTTCCTTTATATTCAATCCAATTTCCTGACTGCTACATTCTCATTCTGCAGAACGTAATGCGTTACTTACTTATTAACGTAAATAACTCAGTCACACAATTAATCCCTCATAACTCGCAATAAGGGTTCAATAACATGGAGTTTCCGATGAAAAGGGTCGAGAACGAAATATGTAAGTGTTGTTTTCAGTGATAAAGTTTAGTTCCGATTATCTTAGTACAACGTAACATAGAAGTCCATGGGGGTGCAGATATCCAACGAACTAGTTTCACGATTTACTCACGATGTTTTCAGAGAAGTAAACGGCATTTAAAGGCGTTCACTTGATTACTCTGTTGTAAACCGTAGAGTTGAACTATGAGATATGAAAGTACGATTGTGAAACATGAAAGAATAAACACACACACACCTGTGATTAAGGTTGTGTTCGTACTCACGGACGCCCTGTTAGCCCTAAGCAACAGCTTTGTTGAACCGAGAGTCAGTCTTTTTTTGTCCTGGGTATTTCCTTTGCTAAGGTTTCAAGATTGTTTCTCAGAGAAATCTTTATAGGCGATCTTGGAACATCATTCTGAGTTGGCATTTGTTCGCAATATTGTTGAAATTATGAAAATTGTCTTCCTGTGCAACAAATTAGAGGAATAAAGCTTGAGACCTTGAGATTTTGCAATGCGATAATAAGTTTAATTGCATGGCTACTTGACTCATGAAGAAATTGTGTACACGGAAAATTACACATTCAGTTTTTCTGTACTGAGTTTCATCAGGGTAATCGTGAGTCAGGTGCACCATGCATTCTTGCGCATTGTAAACACCTTTATAATGTGTTCGTGTTTGTTACTCATCAACAGGTCTCGTAACACCACTAGATTTTCTGATTCTGGTGTGGGA